CTACTTGGAAGGCTGAGGTGGGAGGATCACCTGAGCCCAGCAGGTCGACACTGGGGTGGCCATGAGTGTGCCACTGCACTCTAGCCTGGGCAACAGAGTAAGACGCCAACTCAAAAAAAGAAAAGAAAAAGAAAAAGAGATCCCATGTGCTCACTCTCTCATCCCCCAGACCACCAAGTGCACACACAGAGAAGTACCTCACCAGAAACCAACCCCACTGGCACCTTGACTGTGGAATTCCATCTTCTGGAATTATGAAAGAATGAATTTGTTATTTAGGCCACTCTTTGTGTGGTACTTTGCTATGCAGCCCAAGCAGACTAATACAGAGCCCAAGGGGAAACTAGATTTGATTGAAATTTTAATAAACAGCATTGAAGAGGGACATGAAAAAAGAGCAGTAGCAAACACATAAAGGACAAAAGAAAAAAGATAACTGTATCAGAAAGAAAATTCTAGATTAAAGATGATAATCTGCAATAAATAAGTAAAATTATCACATGTAATATATATATTATTGTGGTCTTTAAATAGAAAAAAAGAAAATAACAGAATAAATCTAATATTAAAACTACAATATAAGGAAAATGTCCAAAAATAAAATAAGACCCAACCCACATATTCAAAGGAGCTATCATGAACCTGAGAGAATTTGCCAAGAACAGTCCTCTCTAAGACATACTTTAATGAAAATACTACAACTTAAAACTGAATAAAAAGTCTTCTGGACAAAAAGACAGAGACCAGACTCTGCAACATAGCAATATCCTGTCTCTACAAAACATACATAAATTCACAAAAAGTAGCTCTAGAGAAACTACTAGGTAAATAACTTTTTAAAGTGAAAGAACCATTACAGAAATTAAATGTTATACTAAAATATATTATTTTCATATGAAAGAAGGCGTAAGTAAAAGGAATAAAATATCAAAAAAGCATAAGTTAGAAAACAAAAAGTAAAATGGCAGATGTAAATCCAACTACAGATGCCCTCCAACTCACATTAGAGTTATATCCTGATAACAGTCAAAACAGTCGAAAATATCATGTGAAAGCAGGAGGTATCACTTCCAGACTTCAAACTTTACTATAAGGCTACAGTAATCAAAACAGCCTGGTACTGGTACAAGAACAGGCACACAGACCAATGGAACAGGATAGAGATTCTGGAAGCAAAGCCTCAATTTCTCAACCAACTCATCTTTGACAAAACCTCCAACAACAACCAATGGGGAAAGGAGAACCTATTCAGTAAGTGGTACCAGGAAAACTGGCTGACCACATGCAGAAGACTGAAACAGGACCTCTACCTATCACCATACACAAATATTAACTCTAAACGGATCAAAGACCTAAACGTAAAACCTCAAACCTAAACATAAGAATCTTAGAAAACACAGGAGACACCCTTATGGAAATTGGAACAGGCAACCGATTCCTATTCAGAACCCTAAATGCCCATGCCTTAAGAAATCAGATAGACAAGTGGGACCTCATCAAACTAATGAGCTTCTTCAAAGCAAAAGAGAGCAGGGAGACAGCCCACAGAATGGGAAAAAATATTTGCCAACTGTGTATCTGATAAATGCCTAACATCTAGGATCTACAAGGAACTCAAACACACCAAAAGGAAAAAAACAAACAGCCTGATTAAAATGTGGGCAAAATAATCCCGCGCCTTTGGGAGGCTGAGGTGAGTGAATTGCCTGAGCCCGCGGGTTCGAGACCCGCCTGGGCAGTGAGACCTCAAC